GTTATGTCAAATAAAAAATAAACGAGGACTACGGTATAAATTTGCTTACCATAGATTTTTGTAAGATTTCTGTGTTGCTCCCTAATTGGCGCTAGTGTGAAACTCTCGTTCTTCGTCTAATAGGGAATTAGTTAGGGTCACACCATTGGACGCATTGGCAAACGGCCGTCACGCAACGTGTCGTGGGTTCGATTCCCACACGGAACAACACTTTGTGTGATCCACAGATTGTTGTTCCCGGTCATGTGTATGTGAAGTTGTATGTTTGTAAACGCACCTACGACACAGGACAAAATTCTAGTGTGGATCAACGTTATTTAAAAAAAAAATCACTTACTGGGTTTGCGTTATTTGGTCAGCTGAAAAACGGTAGCCCCATTGTTTTGATTTTCCGATACAATAGAGCATTAAATTTAATTAAAAAACTGCGTTTAAAAAAACCGTCTTCAAAAACGAATGACTAACGAAAAATAAAAACTAAAAAGGAAAAAATTAAATATTAGTGGTCATACGTACTTATAGCTTACACACCCACTGATAGGTTAGAAGTCGGTGCCTCCGAGAACTCCTCCTTTTTTTGAAGTCGGTTAAAAATAAATCTCACTTTCATTAATTGTTTTTACGACATACCTGCTTAAAAACATGATTTTATATCGTACAAAATTCAACTGTGGGAGAGCCATGCTTCGACCGAAGTGATACCACGGCCGAGCAGACAACCGACATGAAACAACACTTGCGATGTGTTTCGTCGTGTGAATGAGGTTACCGGAGGCCCAATTACCCCCCTCCCCAATCTCCCAAATTCCCAAATCCTCCATAATCCTCAAATTCCCAATCCCAAAAGGCCGGTAACGCACTTGTAACGCCTTGGTGTTTCGGGTGTCCATGGGCGGCGCCGATTGCTTACCATCAGGTGATCCGTCTGCTCGTTAACCGGCTTGTGCTATAAAAAAAAATCTAAAATCGGAAAGTTATAACAGAATTAATGTATGTTAAATCTAAGGAAGCACTCTCAAAACTAAGTATAAAAAAGATTTTAATGGAAATATTATACACAAAGTACAGATAACTAAAAAAAATGACAGTAACATGAAAAAATTTTTTTTTTTCGCATAAAGGAATCATGTTTTGCAATGTATGTATGTATAAATGTAATGTATGACCTATTAGATAATTTCAATATTGATTGCTTATTGATGACCTCATTCTTCCGTATATTTTTTTTGATCTATTCTGTTCTAATTTATTAACTAGCTGTCCTAGGGTCAAAGTAATGGTTTAAATAAATAAACTTAAACTAAAATATTATGTTACAAGTTAAAAAAATAAAGGCCCTGTTTCATACGCGTCTATATTTATTTTTATTTGGTATTTATTTTAACAGTCTATGTACAAATGTGTTCATATGTGTTAAAAAAAAATTACAAATATGTATACAATGGTGGGCTTAATGCGGCGATGGCATTCTCTATCAGCCAACCACAGGGTGATGCAGAGAAGTGTAACAGTAGGTTATAAACGAAGTTTATATCTATTGAAAAAAAAAATGTGATAAATGAACGTATAGTTATATAAAGGTATCACACTATATAAACTACATACCAATAACATATGAAACATAAATATAATATGTAAATAATTATAAATATAAGTATATAATGGATTTATATATTACAATTTGTTTTATTTCTCCACATCCCCGACTTTTGAGGGAAAATTTCCAATTTTTTTTTATCAAATTAGCAAATAAGATTCCATTTCAAAAATTCCCATTACTTACGGATTTTGGTATTGCAATCTAATCTAACTAATTGCTATCTGATATAAGGAAGTCGCAAACATTTTCCCTAATTATACAGTTACTTTCGAATCGTAAAAAACAAGGAAATTTGACGAGAACATCGAGCTAATGCAAGCAAAAACGACCAGACAGACAGCTTGAACTCCGGTTCTGTGACGTCATAGAATGGCAGGATAATTATTGTGGTGTCATAAAGTATGCAGTTTGAAGTCGGTGACGTATTTGAAATTAGCTGCAGGCGATGGTGACGCATTGCGGTGGGTTTCCTGCTCTCAACGAATGCATTTTGGACTGAATTTTATTAATCGGGTATTTGGTATTTACATGATAAGTGGAGCTACGTTTCTTTATTCTCCGAAGTAGTCAAGCAGGGATGTGCAGTTATCACTGTTAGAAGTCCACATTATAAGTTGTCAGTATGCATATGTGAGCACCATGTTAGACTATAAGATTTTTTTTTGTATTGTTTTTTTTTATTTTTACTTTAGTAAGTTTTGTAATTAGTATAATGTGTCAAGCGTGTCTTTGCATTGTTCTCACATATATGTACAGTATTGGAATATGTATCAGAGACATTGTAGAACATATTTAGTTTAAAAAGAGTAACGAATGGAGTTTCTTGCTCGTTCTTCTCCATTCGAATTTACATTTTGGAATGAGCCCATAGCTTCACCTAGATTCACTGACGGATTGACTGACAGACTATTATTTATTTTGTATTTGTTGACTTTTCAAAAGTACCAAATTACGGTTTAATTGAAATAAATGCTTTGACTTTGACTTTACTGATAATGGAAATTTTTTATAAAATAAAGGTTTTAAAATACTTTGGAACCTTTGAATGGATTTATTTATTTTATAGTTTTTACTTTCGACTGCAGCTAGTTCGCACGGAGCAACTCTACGTGATTCACAGATTGTTATTGTCTGTGTGTCATATGTATGTGAACTTGTATGTTTGTAAACGTATCTATGATACAGGAGAAAATCCTAGCGTGGGGCCTTAAAAAAGAAAACAAAAAAATAAAACCAAACTGTACAAAGTTTACTCTCTTTCTGTCAGGGAGACTGTCATTGGTGCTATGTGACAAGTCTCTTGTATAATTTTATTATTTTTAATAAAAATATTGTCACAGGTAACAAGTGCTGTTTTTTATATTCTTGACTGGAACGCGTTTCGAACCACACACCTCCATCCAACAGTACTATTTGCAACCACTCCATTAACACAAATTATCATGACATGGTATGACGAAAGTTTTTGAAGATTAATGAGATTGTAATTTTTAGGAACGAATTGTAATTTTAACTAAACGAAAACCCAAGAATTGTATTGTATACCTGATTGAAAAAGAGTAACCTATGGAGTTTTTTGCTCGTTCTTCTCCATAGGAATCTACACTTTGAACGAGCCAATAGCTTCACTAGAGGACTGACCGACAGACTGTCGTTTTTAATATTTCAATATTTTGTTATTACCTTCAAAAATGCCTTCTTGGTCTAATTAAAATAAATGATTTTGAATTAGGAAGAAAATAATTACAAGCTTCAGTTATCTCTAGTCAGTCTATTCTCTATTTGAAAATAAATGCCTATCGGAAAATTAATATTAATTGAATAATTTCAGTAAATAAATAGTTAGCGATGAGTTTTTATATTTATTGTTCTGTTTTATTTATTTCGATTTCGACCTTTCGTCCAATTTTTCTGTTCTACATATTTCTGAAAGTGGAATTTATTAAAAGGTCACACGTTAAAAATGTCAATATCCTCCAAAACAACCCAAAAATATCAATAATGAATTTATTTTTAATCAATCTACTTACTTTTTAATGTCCCTATACAGAAGGGGCCGGCACGGCACGTGCGGCTCTAGGACGACTCGCAATTCAAGCGGAGAACACAAGGACTATATAAATTCGTAGAGGCTGAGTGCGCTGGCAGTCCGCGCACTAACCGTACGATGTGCATAGACCTGCAATTAAAAAAAAAAGTACGTTGACAGTTTCAATCGCGCGGGAAATTTGACGTGTAGTGATCGTTCGATTTTTACAATAGTTATTGACTGTGATTGTGTGATTTTTGTTTTATTTTTTTTCGTTACGTGTGATTTTTTGACTGAATGTGAGTATTTTATATATTTTTTAACCGTAACTTATATTTCTGAAAATGAAAGAGAGTAAATAAAAATTAGCACGTATAGATCAAAAATATTAATAAAAGGTTTTACTCAACATTATATAAATGGAAATTAATAATAATTCATTAGTCTCGTGTAGTATGTCTCGTGAAAGTTTTAATTTTAAATATTACGAACTAATAAATAATTAGTTATTTTTAGTTATGTTCTACGAAATAATACAATTCGAATACAAGAGCACAATTTCTTTGAGGTTTAAAATAAAATAACATAGGTACCTACATTAAAAAGACGACCTAAAATAATGTATTGCCATTTAGAAAAATAATTAGGTATATGAAATGTAATGAATTTAATAAAATGAAACCATGTGAGTTCTTTGCGATTATATATTTTTGTGTAGTCATTTCAAATAGTCGTATGGCAGTTAAATAAAAGATAAATAAACTAAAACAAAATTACACTACTTACACTTTTTTGTATATTCGGCTGAAAATAATAAAAATATATACCTACATCTACAAGTATATTATGAAAAAAGAAACTTTCGAAAAGTTGCAATTCAGTAAAAATTAAGAAAACTATAAATTGTTTTTGAATATTCTATAGTTTTTTAATCGCCGTAAATACAAATAAAAATTGCAATAAGTAAGTAGTTTATTTTTACGCGCGTTAAAAGTCGCAATACATTGGCCGCATGTCCCACACATTAATCTTGCTTTTCTGTCAGACCTTTTTTATATTTAATTCACATTCTAAGCTAACGACAGTCTTACGCCAAAGAAAATCCTTTTGAAATTATTTTCGAAAAAGAACATGTTGTATTTAATGTTTCATTTCAAAATATTGCGCGGGCAAAGCGACGGATGTAGACCCAAAAAAAATTTTTTTTTATATTACCATTTTTTTAGATTTTATTAATATAATTATATATACAATTAATATTAACTATAACTAAATGAAAATATATACAACTTAAAATATAAATAACTTATAATAATATTAATAACATAATATTTAGTAATAGGTATAATATAAACTATCTCCAGGATTTAACACGTTAACCGCCGCTTAGGTCACCGATGTTAGCGGAGGATTTGCCTTCAGCAGTTTTCTGTCGGCAGTCAAAAGTCAGTTAAATGAAATAAATACATTTTCGAAAATTAGATACATGATTATAATCTACTAGCTTCCAACAACAGCTTTCCATGTGACAAAAAAATCCTATGTGTTATTCTAATCTAGACCATAATGTAGGTACGTCTGTTCCAAACTTCATCTCTATCTCTTCAGCCGTTCGGACGTGAAGGAGTGACAAACTTAAGCTAAATAGCTTCACTTTTAATTTTTTGTTGACGTTCAAAAATGCGTTTCTTGTCTAATAGAAGAAACAAATGATTTTGACTTTGACAAACAAAGAAACATAAAAACATTCGCAGTCTTAATATTAGGAGGATGAACAGACAGAGTGCGATAGAAAAAATCTTCCTCTTGTAGGGCATCGATAATCAACAGCCTATAAGTGCCCACTACTGAGCAGAACCTCTGCTCACACAAAGAAGGTTTGAACATTACCACGCTTGCTCAATGCGGGTTGGCGATTACAAACTTATAATTAGAAATTGTAAGTCCAGGTTTCTCCTCACGATGGTTTCCTTTACCGTTTATCAGTGGTGTCTACAAAACCTTAGAAAGTGAACGGAAAAAGTCACATTGGTACTTGCCGTAGGTTTCGAACCCTCGGGCCTCTTATAGATAAATTCTGTAAATAACCTTTTTAATTAAAGTATAATTTACAAGGAAATGTACATGTAACCTGGAGTTTATTTTGGTACTTTACCTAATTGTTGTGTTTAAAAATAAACTATAATTAAAGGGAGAGGCAAATCAGTAACGGTAGTCTAGACTATTTGTATACCAAGTACTATTTATAGATACGAATTAAAAGTATTGCATTGTTTGATTTAGTTAACAACTGTCACATTTCAGACGCAGTAGTTCGATGGTTTAATTTTGAATAACCGTTATGTTATTCATATTTCTTTTTTTTAATTTACAGCTCGGAATTACCTAAACTTTAATTATAAAGCTATATTTTGTAAAAACATAGAGATGTCTAATTGTCCATCCATTGGTACCTTAGTACCTACGTGACATTTCACTACATATTATAAAACAAAGTCGCTATCCGCCGTCTGTCTGTCCCTATGTATGCTTAGATCTTTAAAACTCCGCTACGGATTTTGATGCGGTTTTTTTAATAGACAGAGTGATTCATAAGGAAGGTTTATATGTATAATGCATGCATATTCCACGCGTGCGAAGCTAGTGTCGTTAGACTTGTATTAAAAAGGTTTAATAGATAAAAAAACGAAGGTCTTTAATTGGTCAATTCCAAAATTAAAAAATATCTAAATAATAACAATAACTAATATAAATTCTATTATGAAAAAAAAATTCAAAATAATAAAATAGTACGAAATTTTTTTTCCAATCAAGAAATGTAACAGATAATATATTGCATGTTTAAAGCAGTTTCGCTCGTGCCTATAGCCAAGTCCATTCAACGAACAAGGAAGAATGATTCTGAACATTTTTTTATCAAATTACAAAACTTTCATTTCTCAATGCAACTGCATTGGGTTTTTACAATAAATAGTGTATAAAGCAAGTCATTGAGTTCCAGAGGTTATATATGTACAATACAATATATGACTCATTTACTAAGAATATCGGTAAATGTATATTTTAAGGAAATAGGTAATTAAACGGTTCATTGCGTACTAAATTAAATATCGCAAAAAATGTACTGTTTTTTTTTCTCAAGTGCAACGATCGAGTAATGGGATAGATTTTCAGTTTGTGTAAAGCAAGGGATGGATGGGATCTTCTTGTATAGTGGGTAGCAGGTTTTCTTAGTCCTTACTCTTTATTAAAGAGATATCAAAAGATTTTCACGTGAGTAACTCGCGATTATAGTTAATTTAGTATGTCTCACGATAGTTATTACAAAAATAAAAAGATGTTCTTTATTAAAGTTATCGATGCGTGATTATTAAAATAATATTCGTGTGATGAAAGGATAAATCGCCATTTTAAATTAATTCAGTATGTCTCACGATGACTGATATACAATCATCATCATCATCATCATCACGCCTTTTATTCCCGAAGGCGTAGGCAGAGGTGTTCATTACGGAACTTAATGCCACTGTGCAATGTAAGACCCACCTTTCACTATTTATTCTATGTAACAGGGGGTGAGCCTATTGCCATATACCGGGCACAATTCCAGACTCCGTGCTACTATAGACAATTTTTTTTAAAGAACCCAGCAATTTTTTGCCCCACACTGGAATCGAACCCAAGACCCCTAGCCTGGCAGTCGCACTTGCTACACGGCTGACGAGGCAGTCTGGTATACAGATGTGTCAAATTGCGTTAATTATGTTAAGTAAATAGGTAGTACCTACAGCGGGTTCACAGTTAAGTAAACCTAATATTAATAAAGTAATTGTACAGTGCCTACAAGTTGTGATGACGTTAATGTAACTCAAATATCTATTACGTGTTAAAAATTCGATGAAAAACTGTGTCACCATAATATTTTATAGTCTGTTTTTCCCCTATCTGATGGTAGGGAAAGATTTGAATTTTGCGATCATAATTTCATCACAATTTATTTATTATACCTACTTTTTTTCTTATGTTGAACTTGAACTAATGCTAATTTTTCGATACTTTTGTTTTATTTTAATTAATTTTTATCTTAAATTATTGTATATATTTAGTAATAGTTAGTAACTACCTATATATTTTATTAAGTTTTTTATTTCTGTAAATAAGAAATAGTTATTACAATCAGAAAAAAGAACTTGACTATTTTTGCCACATGTTGTTTTTATATATGCAGACTATACTTGTAAAAAAGGAACGTTTAATATTTTATTATTATGATATTTGCAAAAAAAGTATATCGTCAGTAAGTGAGTGAATCGTCAAAATTTTTAAAAACGTTATGTCGCCGTATCATATTAGTTACAAAAATAAATCTTCATTTTTATGATAACCATCGTGAGATACCTATACTAAATTAGAATAGCATAGAAAGATTTATTTGTATAGGTATCTACTACATTACAATATGAGTTTTTTTTATTACAATATTAAAGTTAAATTATGCTAGACTTATGAATTATGCTTAACTAGATAATAATAATACATTATTTGGTCGAATTATTTAGTTCCCCATTGTGACATGAAACTAGTAGAGCTTTTCTCAGTATATTTACGTTAAATAATATAAAATAATATAAACCGTTATTTTTACTTAAGAGAATCTAGTTGTTACTCGTATTATGACATGCTCGACTTCAGAATCAAATCCGGGACTGCTAAACAAGCAAACAGACACTCTTGACCTATAAGTAAGGCAATGTAATGATTGTTTACACTGAGTCGCGTGGCGGTCTCGCGTCAACCAGAGCCTCGAAGGTTAAGCTACACTCTCTGCAGACGGTAAATGGATGGGTGACCACGACACGGTCATTACATGTGGAAAAAAACACGCGATTTTTTTTGTTATACGTCTAGAGGTTACAGTTTTGTGAAGTAGGCGTGTGCCCTAGTTTTATTCGGGATCAGCAGTGAATTGAGAATTTGTTGAGTCATCTTATTTCTACATGGATACCACCAGGGCTGATGCCGATTCGGAGTCGCGGAGAACCTCACGGGTTACCGGGGCTCCGGTTCGACGTGCAGGAGAAGGAACGGGGTGGTTTTTAGTCAGTAAGAGTCTGACACTCCTTCCCGCCTCACCCAGGCGGAATTAGTCATTCCATGATTTTCCCCCCTTAAAAAAAATACATATTATACGGAACTCTCCCAAAAAACGGCGACAGGTGATGGTAAAAAATAAGTTTTATTTTTGTATAAGTAAGGAATTAAATGTTTATTTTATGTAATAGGTAATAGAGTTATAATT